GATCTAATTGATTAGCCACATTCTATAACCATTTGTAACGTTTTGATCCAGCCTTGTGTGATTTACAAAGGAGAGAGAGGAGTGAAAGGGCTGCCGGTTTTGGGGTGGGTTTGAGAGAGATTCAACCATTGTGTCTTCATCCTTTGTTCTATATTGTAAACGCCACCATCCCTTTGTGTCCTTTGTGGGCCAGAAGAGGGTAACTGGAGTGTGGTTTGAGAGGCAACCGGAGTGGTAGAAAATAACAAGCCAAGGTGCCAAGTTTTGGGTGAAGCCAAGGTAAGTTGGTGTTTGTTTGGTTGTTTTCTGAACTTGAAATTAAAGATTTCTCGAAGATTTCCATGTCAGTTAGTGCAAAATGCGGCCATTGTATCTTGGAAACTAAGCAGTTTCCCTATAACTCTTTTTCATGCTATAATCAAAATTCGTTGGGGGATGGGGAAGATTACAAAATATCATGCTTTAAACTTCCAAAGATCTCTCACGTTTACAAAGATGGATGTATATATTTATCCATTCATTAAGAAAATTAGCTCGGCAATCATACAAATATTCGTACAAGTCTCAAATTTCAAGGGAAAGGTAACTGGAATTACTTCGCAAATACAACATATTACATATCACAAACTATATAAGTAAACATGCGATTAGTTAATGCAAGAAAAACATGGTGGAAGCGTACACACTCCCAACAATGAAGACACACCAAAACATACAAATACACTGCTAATACAACTTATAATTTATTGGATAATCTATGATCTTTTGTGATCATAAATTAAGCAGGAGAAGTCTTGACAGTAACAACTGGGAAATCAAGAAGAACAGCCTTTTCAATTGCAGCTGAAAATGTAGATGAAAATTCAACATGATTTGGATGGCTAGCAAAAGTAGTGAAATCATCTTTGCTACTAAATGTCATCAAGAAAGCATGGGTGAAACCTTGTCTCAGCATCTCATGGCTTTCAATGTCCTGTCCCCTGCGTAAAATATAAATTAATAAATTCATTTTCTCTCTAATAAATTCATCTCATGGCTTTCAATGTTCTTAGATGACGTGTTGTGATATGGTATCCGAGCAAGAAATTTTGTATGTTCTAGTTTTACTACCATTAGTTTACGAAATATTTCTTGCTCAAAGAAAAAAAAAACTTCACGAAAAAATGAATCTGGCATGTAGAAGACTAAATTTCTGAAAAAATNACGAAATATTTCTTGCTCAAAGAAAAAAAAAACTTCACGAAAAAATGAATCTGGCATGTAGAAGACTAAATTTCTGAAAAAATAAATAAGACAACATAAACCTTTAGATAAATTGATTATATATAGTAGTATTGAGAAAGTCTTGCTGCCATACATCAGGCAATTGATGAAAAATAAATCCAATATGCACCTAGAGTAGGAGTCGGGGCGAGTCAATCAGCTAGCCAATGGCTCGCGAGTCAGTTCATCATAAATAAGTGAACAAATAATTTCAACTAAAAAGAATAAAAATAATAATAATTGGCCTCCGGCTCGGCTTGTCCCACCATTGGACGAGTTCGTTGGACAAGCCGAACTGCACTTTGATGAGGCGAGCAATTGCCGAGCCGATTGGCACAATCCTCCCCATTTAATCCCCTTACATAGAGCGTATTGGAGACTAAATTTGACTACATATAGGTGCCTCCTCTCTAAAAAGCTACGCTTATAGTTTATTGCTAGTGACATAAATTAACAGTATTCTTAAAATTTCTCATTACGAACAATCCTATAGTTTCAAAATAGGCAAAACTTCTGAAAGTTTTAATTTCCTAGTTATCAAACTAATGAAAGTATATGTATGATATTTTGTTTTATATATATTAAAACCAGATATTAGAGTGTGAATGGTTTAATTCCGGTTATTTTTCTCTTATATTAACGTTTGTGAAGAAGAAACTAGGTCATGTTCCGTTGCGTTTAATAGTAGAACATAATCAAAAGTAGAGTTACAAAAGTTGCTTTTAAACATAACCAAACGTCCTTGATAGTCAGAGACGAGATTTACCATACAAGGGACTTGACAATGTCCATTTCTGAGACTAGTTTCTCCATCCCTTTCAAAACTTCTTCCACTGCCACTTCTTCCTTGAACTTGGCCAGCACCAAATGCTTGAATTCAGCCATGGCCACTACACCAGTGTGAAAAAATGACTCTATGAAGCCATCAATATATAGACATATAATTAATTATTTGTATGTCAACTTCTACAGTGATAAGTGTCACATCTTTGTACCAGGAATTTCAGTCTCTCCTTTACAAGACAATATCTACTATTTAATATTTGGAAGGGCACTACTGCATGGGATAAGCCCCACTAAGTCTGCAACTTTATATGGTCTTAGTCAAAATTTTAACCACTTTGCTTTGAAATGAGAGGGTTAGGTTAGGGTAGGGTAGGCGGTGGACGTGGGGGGTCCATGGTGTGCTAGTTTTTCTTCATGGTTTCATTTCTTATGTTGGAGATATCTTTAACCGCTGGAATCTTCTGGTTTTAACATGGAATCAAGCAAGATTCACTATTAATTTATGAAAGTTTTCCGTGTTCGACCTCTAATATGTATAGGTAGTCTTGCATAGTAGACATAAATTTAAATAAATAAGACAATTGTCTTTCTTACGACTTCATCTTTTACATGAAATAGCTCAATTAATATTAGAATGTGTGGAAGTCATAAGATTCAAATTTCACTTCACTTATTAATCAACATAGTGCATGTATACGGAGTTTGGTAAAAAAAAGAGAAATATGATTTACATATCGTCACTTATTTAAATGGAATAATGTTATTTAGCCCAAATTTCAATCTATGTAATGTTAAGTGATAGGCTAAATAAAAGTTGACCATTTAATTTTATTTATTATTTAATGTCATATTAGCTTCACATAGATTAAAATTATAACTTCAGTGAGATTACATAGCATTATTCATTTTAGTAAATTTATGCTACCCATATTCATTTTGAAACTAGACGTTTCCACAAATTTCGATGACTCGTTTCCCAAGCTAAAACATCATACGTACTGCCCCTTATTTCTATATGTTTGTAATTTAATGCAAAGAATTTTCTTC